TTACTAATAAAAGCATAAGGCACTAAATCTTTATTGGGATTTCACTGTGTACACGAAATTACAGTATTACTTAAACACCACATTCTTTTCAGGAGCTATTTAAATGAGGTATACACAGGTCCTTCCATAACAGCTAAAGAAAGACCAGGATTATTTTCTTATTTATGAGCAGTTACAAAACCCCTTAATTTTTAAGTCTATTTCCCCATCTGTTTACCTATCAGACAGGCTGGAAATTCAGCATTCAGGTCCTCTGCTCAAAAATAATTACTTTATAGCAAGTAATTTACATCCCTCCTACTGCATTTTAACTACAAATAATTATGTAATATGCTAACTTATTCCTAAAAGATGGGTTGGTTACTTCTGTGTATTCAATATCTTTTTCATCCCTGAAAAAAATATTTCTCCTGTTCAATTACTCCTAGCATCGAACATCCAATATAATGCAGCTTATTTGTCACTGGTCGGGGATCTTATCCTAAAATCAAGGAACTAAATGACAGTCTGATTTCCACAGGCTTATTAATAGGTAATGTTAAGTTCTAATTTATTAATTTATATTTAATTTATTACTATTCAAGTAAAAACTATTGATGGTGATACATGAGACAATCTACCTAAGTTTTTAAAGTTAAGAATGAACTAGAATGATAAAGTTGACAAAATTGTTTTGTAAACTGAAGAAACTATGTATTAAAATATATATATAACCCTGCAATACTATTTTTAAAAGGCATCAGTCATAATGCATCTACAATTTACAGCAGCATCAATGTTTTGAATGCTTGCCTTGCAGTTATTATAACAAGCCTTATTCAATCTTTTCTTTATTTCGGGGTTAAGAAAAAAATTAAGCCAAAAAAGTAATTTTATATATTAAAAATGCTAGCATTTATTTAACTAGTCCCTCCTCTGTCTAGAAACTTAAACCTCTGTAATGGTTTTTTTAAGTTATGCCAAGTTTACAGGTGAAGAAATTTGCAGTCACAAAGGGGTCAGAATCCAAGATTCGTATCCTATTTTCAAGACACCAGCTCCTGCAAAACAGCACCTAAGAAATGCCCCAACACTGTCTCTTTATGAGATCTATTAAGTACTAACCAAATCCAAAGTTATTTAATTTAGGAAGTCTGACAATGTAAAAATTTAAGATATGCTTCCCCTTCATTCTAATTAGGAATGGTTGATTCCTCTGTGTCATTCATGCCACAGATTTCCAAATTAACATCTTACTGCAAACCACTTTCGATAGACTATGTTTTTTTCCTATCTGTTAAATATAATTGTCATTCTGAGTAGCTTGCACCAAATTCATCCCTTGAGAGATGCTTCTTCGAGGGTCTGTGCACAGTTCTTGGGAGGAAGGAACATGGACACACTGTGCCCCCCCCCTTTGGGTTTCTGCGTATCAAAAAACTCTTCTCTTTTTTTTTTTTTTTTTTTAACAAAGTGAGCTGAGACTTTTCCAACATCAACACTCAAACTTTTTAATAGATTTTTCTGAAAGCCTGAAACATGAGTCACTCCCACTTCAATTCAGATTTTTCCGAGTAGCAGAAAGCACAATGGTAGTGAAATGCCAATATTTTCGTATTTTTAAAAACCTCTTCCTTTTTCCAAGAAAGAAGTGTTTACAGAGAAATAAATATTTATTCCCAGAATTTCTCTCATGCCAACTGTATTCAGAGTCAATTTGCAGCATCAAAAGTGAGACTGTTTAAAGGAGTAACTTCCAGCAGCAGCAAGTCCAGCAGAACCTATTCTGGGACTTTTATGCTATGTTTATATGGTGTTTAAGAATGGTAAAATCCTAAATGCCAACAGAGAGGCTCAGTCACTAAAAGATAAAAAATTGCTTCTCATCTGCAATAACCCAAAGATCATGGCATTCCCTGAAATAAAGAGCCCAAGTTTACAACTGCTCAGGTCAGTGAAACAATTCTCATGAGCACACATGAAGTTTAGACTGAACCCGTATTTTCAGGTGTAAAATAACACCACGGGATGCATTCAGAATAACACAACTTACATTGTGCTTATCTCCTGTGCAGCTCATGATACTTGTATTGAAGTACCACCAGCAATATCTCAACTCTTCAATCTTTCCTGAGGAGAAAACCAAGCCTGCCACTATTTTAATCCCCAGTACACTTGAGTTCAGCAGAGAGAACTGACTCTCTGTAGCACAACTGCTCTCCTAGCAACTTCATGGCATTATTTTCACTGAACATTTTCCTTACCTTACAAATTTAGCCAAACCTATTTCAGAGCCAGTGGTGCGGATAGTTCAAAAAAAAGATAACTGCACTACTTAAATGGAAGAGGTTTAGTGACACACCATGAAGGAGTACTGTATTCTCAAACGTGGCAGTTTAATTTTCAGACCACACACAAGCAAACTTGCTGCTGTACCCACTCCCTGGGTCGATAATTTAAGAGCCAGAGTACATGTCATGAAGGCCACATTAATTGTCACTAAAAATTTTAGAGCATCTCTGTTGGCAAAGCTATTTTTCAGACAACAGATGGTTGAAAATAAGCCCCGACTGTAAGAGGTGTTGAGTCAGTAACCAACACTGCAGCTGAACTGTCCAAATACAGGCAGACTAAGGGGAACATAGGCTACCTGGAAAACTCTTCTGCATCAATGTGTACAGACTTCTTTTAAAAGGAAAGGCAAAAGTTTCTTCACGTCCTGACACTGGAGTTAAATCTCTCAGTTTCTGACTGTGTGCAGAGGACACTCACGGCCTGAATTTCCAGTCATGCTTTTTAATACCCTGTGTTATCTTCTACCTACACGTTTGTTCCCTAAATTTTGAGGATATTCACAGTGTTATGCTAAGTGCACTAAAATGGCTTTCTAATCAGAAGAAGGACTGCAGTACTTTGCCAGCTCCAGGAGGGAGGATCACAGATGGCACATGAACCCACCACTGGGACGGAGCTCTGGGAGTTCGACTCCGACTCGTGGTTCCACTGCATCTGTCATGACCACAACATTTCCTCAGACCACAAGCAGCACAGAATGCATTTTTTTGGCCACACTTTGTCCTTATCTCTACAGAGAATATTTTTCTCCTGCACTTGTGAACTGTTCCCCACAAACCAGAGCTGTTCCTATTTAAAGGAGAACCGCAACGTGGCAGGTTCACGTCGCACCAGATGGCACCAAAAGGGCAGCTCAAGGGTTTCCATGTCTTAAATGGAACTTAGCATCAAGCAGATGACACATGCTATGGAGTAAGAACAAATGTTAGTGTTCCTCAGGATGGTTTGTGCACTGCAACACCTCGTACTGCAGGTTAAACTGGGCTTTGCTGTCATCACCACTAAATTAAGTTCGTCCTTGCAATGCGATCGTTTCACCACAAGCATCTCATGGTTAAGACCAAGAGCCCAGTGAGACACTCAAAGTGCCCTGGAATGGTTTCAGGTCTCTGCAAAGGCAGTCAGAAACCCAAGCGAACCTGAAAATACCATGTGGTGCCCTCTGGCTCACAAGGTACTTTTATGACTTAAAAAAAAGCATATGACCAGAGGGATTTATTCTGTGAGTTTTGGGGTTTTTTGAGAGGTGGGGAGGAACCAGTCCCAAAACTCAATGAAACAGTCTTCTTCAACAGGCTTTAAATCGGGCTTTAATTCCCCAAAGTGTAAATATAATGAATAAAAAGGTAGAAGCTAGAAAGCCTAACTACTAAATTGGTAAAAATAATTTTAGATCTCTATTAAAAGTTTACTACACAGTAATTATAAGAGGAGATTATGCCTTTCCCAGACTTTCTAAAAATAAACGTTTACTTCCTTCGTGCAACCTGCTTCCTAGCAGGTGTGGGAAAAACGCCAGTTTTCATGGGGACAGCATCATCCACCATAATCAACTCAGTTAAAACAGTAATTTGTAAAACCTGCTGCAAATATTTTAAATAATTAATCTAGCAAACTTTAGTTCAGCAACTTAATATTGCAGTTTTCCTTTAAACGTTCATGCCCTTTGTAAGATTTTTCTCAAAAAAACCCCATAAAAACACCTTCTAGCATAAGAGGCAAAAAGGCATGTAACCCAGTAAAAATTGGCAAGCCAAAAGGTTTATTTTTATTTCTGATTTTATTTCTGATTGCCATAGGATGATGGTTCTGTGTTATAATATGCTGCAAGAATAATTCACACAAAATCCTGTCCACGGCACTTGAGGTAATAAAATAACAAAGACTCAGCAAACAAAAACCTTGAAGAATTCAACCTTCTTTTGCTAACAAAATTACAAGAAGGCCCCTATAATTTGCTAGCTCACATCTTAAAACAAATGTGTCAGAAAGTAAAAAGTGTAGAAATTACTGAACCTTAGGACATAGGAAAACAGTGGCAGCTCTGTCTAGGATATTGAAAATTCAGGTGGGACTGTAGCTTGGGCACCTGCGTAATCATGTTTATATCCTAAAATAGGTGACCAGCTGCAATCTGCAAGAACTTAGAATAAGGCTAAGAGGCTTGTCATGCACTGACATGTCGAGCTGAAAGCACAGAACAAGTGCAATAATGGCCAGGGCCTTGCTATAACACAGGCAAGAGGTCTGCTGTGCCATTTCTAACATAACTGTCAAGCTGTGGTCTTTTTTTGCTAAAGCAAAGCTGGCCACTTATCTTAAGAATTCGATTATCACCATCTAATGGGATTTGACAGCACTGACAGGAGTTCATATAGGCTTACAAAGGAAAAGATCTGAAAACTCCAGAATTCAAAGGTAGTCCTTCCTCCCATTTACCATTGCTATGCTTTGTTGGTGTGCAAAAGTGCACCAAAACCTCAGAACAGATTTTAATATTTGCCCACGTCTCATTAACACACTGCAGTCTTCAAATTTACACAGAGCTGCAGTTCTCCTGGTTTTGTTTTGTTTTTTTGTCTCAAGCGTCACTCATCTAACTTAGCATGACAGCTGAGAAACGATGTCAGATGCCTTTACAGTTCAGTTTAAAAAACATCCTCTACCTGGTATCTCTGCGGTGATTGTCTTGCTGCTCCCTGAAACCTCTTCGTCGTCATCGGATGAGCTGGTGCTGGAGTCACAGGTCAGGTCGCTGTCGCTGGTGCTGCTGTCCTGCAGCAGGTTGTACTTCTTGCGAGCAGCTGCCTCCCGCTTCTGCCTCAGGAGCCGGATCCTCTCTTTGTGCTTTTGGCTTCGGTGACCCTTTGCCTTGGTAACTCGACCGTTCTGCTTATCACTGGACTGTCGGTTTTTCTTGGCAGCCATGGTTGAAGTTTCGCTCTCGGACCTGGATCTCCTGGATTTCCTCCCAGCTGCGGCCCCAGACACTGCAGAAGGGTCTCCCTCTGCGACAGCTTCGGCTTGACAGGGCTCATTCTCTTCTGTGGAAGACAACGTGTCTGAGTCAGCCAAATGCCCACTGGAAGAAGGGGAAAGCATGCACTGATTAGAAGAGTCACTCTCATAGACTCGACTGCCTGTTGGCTTGTCGCTCTCCGTGGATGCCAGCTGGGACTCAGAGGAGTCTCGCCTCAGCTCCATCAGCAAGCAAGGCATGGAAGAGAGCACTGCAGAGTCTGCTGGAGTGGGCATGCTGTCCTTCTCAGTTTGTGTCTCGAGCTCTATAGGTCCGTCTTCATCAGGAGCAGTCTCTTGCTTTTCAGAAGCCTTTGGTGGAACTTCTGAATCAGCAAGTTCTTCAGCTTTTCCCACTGCCTCCATCTTCATTGCAGAGCAGAAAGGTCCTCCTGGTGTTAAAGCATTGAGCACGGGGTCTGGAAGAGTGGGTGAACTATATGTGGTGTTCAGCAATACAGCACCCTGCACAGGAACAGAACAGTAAGAATAATTTAAACAAATAGCTCACTCATCTCTGCTCTTCACAGTATTACCTGAACAACCCATTGCTTCCAGTTATAGACAGTATGGTTCACAGAATCCCAGAATGGTTTGGGTTGGAAGGGACCTTAAAGCCCATCCAGTTCTACCACCCCCACCCCCCCCGCCATGAGCAGAGACACCTTCCACCAGCCCAGGTTGCTCCAAGCCCCATCCAACCTGGCCTTGGACACTTCCAGGGATCCAGGGGCAGACACAGTTTCTCTGGGCAACCTGTGCCAGGGCCTCACCACCCTCACAGACAATTCCTTCCCAATATCCCATCTAACCCTGCCCTCTGCCAGTTTAAAGCCATTCTCCCTTGTCCTGTCCCTCCAGTCCCTTGTCCAAAGTCCCTGTCCAGCTCTCTTGGAGCCCCTTTAGGCACTGGAAGGGAGTCTAAGGCTGAAGGGAGTCAGGCTGAAATGCTGTATGGTGCAAGAGAACCATGAAAATACTTAAAGGACAGGAACACCAGCTAAGGAAAGAAAGGTTGGCTTAAACTGGACAACACAAAGAAGATGAAGATGACAAGACTAGGTCTGCTAAATATGAGGGGGAAAAAAGCCACAAACCCAAAACTCCAAAGGGTAAACTCAGCGTTTTCCTTCCAAAAATAATATGCAGACTGCACACTGCAGTATGCAATAAAATGCATACTGCAAAATACAGGAACATATATATAAAGAAAAATATTTGTGATACTTGCACTGAGTAAAACTCTCTTGAAAACATCTTGAAAGAAGAATTTCTGGAGATAGTAACTTAATGTAAACAGTAAATAGGAACAACTTATTTCCAAGGCCACAGAAAAGCATCAACAAACCCAAATGATGAATACACACGTTATGAGGCATAAATGCATCTCAATACTGCAATTAAATCCGTATTTCTACGTAATTCATTCACAAATCTACATTATCCAGTAATTCTCCTACTACAAAGGTAAGTAAACCAGAGATTTGACAACTGAACAACTGGCCAAGACTTCTGCACCGTGGGATTTGTATCGTACCTGGTAGTGCAAATCCCAGCTTTGCTCTTGGTCATGCAGTTGGAAATGAAAAACACCTTCTCTAAGAGTTTTGAAATGTACAGACGGGGAAAAGAAAAGTCTGGTCAGACAGAAACCAGAAGCGCGTTAGCCTGGCCGAATGAAAATATATTTAAATAACCATACTAATAACTGCAGAACAGCTTCTGCCCTATTCAGCCTTTTAGCCCGGGGAGCACAATGAAGAGAGCTTGACACGAAGCTAAAGGGCAGCCAAAGTGAACTACAGGCTTTTTTATACCAAGGTCCTGCTTGGGAACATCATTTACCTCACAGCTCCCAAAGGGGGAGTAGGACACCTGTACTTGCCTTTCCATGTCTCTGGCCTGATAGCCATAAAAAAAAAAAAGACATTTCATCAACACGTTGCCACCTTGTTAACAGTCTAATTATAATCATTTTATAGGATTTTTTTTATTATTAAGTGGGATCTTACTTTAACTACTCCAACCACACTGGTTTAATCCCTCACACAGCGATCAGTGAATTATATTTTCAGTGAGTTGGCAGCACAGGGCAACAACACTGACATGTGTTTCTTTGTGCATGGAAAAAAATACCTGCACTGGTGAGGTTTGTACTCTCTGGGTCCCTTCAACTGGTTATTTAGACATCACCAATTCCAGTATCAGTATGTATATAAACCAGAATTTTGTCTTTCTCTCACTGGAAAAAAAAAAATCTAGCATGACTCAAACAGACTTTGCTGCAGGGAGGAATACAGGCAGTTCAGAGGAAAATATCTATGCCAATGAAAGCCTTGTCTCAAAGAGTGAAAAAAATGTACTTATTTAGTTCTACTTGAGAAATGTATAGATCAGCAAGAAGAGACTATATTAAAAAACTCCCACTCCTTTCTTGCCACTCACTTTTCCTGCAACAGTACTAGAAAAGGTAATCTCAAGGTGGTGCTAGAGAGAGACCATTTCTTTTACTGCAGTGAGAACAAAGCACTGAAGAATAAGTTGTGACGCTTACAGACACAGATGGATACTTAATTACACACTGATTGGAAATGTCATTCTTTCACTAATCGACAGATACCAGAACAATTATTTTAAAAGGCAATTCTGTAAAAACTTCTCTGCTAGATTTCTCCACCAGAAAAAACATTATTTTCCAGTCACACACAGAACACACTGGTATGCAGAAATTATTAAACCACTACCTGGAAAACATCTTGAAATTGTGGACTCATTTCTAAAAGCACATCATTTGTACACAAGGAAATCTGAAGTTCAGTTAAGAAATCCAGAAGGATTTTGAAGGTCAGGTTAGCAAAGGCAGCCCAGCCTCTCCAACAGTTGGCTGCTACTAACAAGGATGAGTTTTGTCCCTTACTCTTTTCCCACCTAATTGTGACTGCACAGTCATATTCTCTCCTTTGCACCAGAACCTGTTCTTGGGTAGGTTCCTTTAACTAAGTCAGCAGAAATCAAAATGAGAAAGTAAGTGAAATTTTCTGCTACACCCATCAGGAAGGAGAGAAGAGAGGGTAAGCAGAAACTATCCCTTTAGAAAAAACACAAATCTGATGAAAAGCTACCTGCTGTTTTGTCTCATCACACCCTGAACTCACAGGTTCAGCCTAGACACAGGTGAGGGTCCTGAGCAATCCCTTCACAGCACTGTTTGCTCTGGGAAGGCATTTTTGCAGATAAAAAAAGTGATTAAAAGCAGAAAAAACCCAGAGCTGACAGGAGCTTCCTAAAGAACAACTATCACGTAATATATACCACTGCACTAAGAGTTATACTGAAGATGGCAGGTTTCCCACAGCAGAGAGGCATCAGATTATAAAAATAAATAATGAAATAGAGTTGCAGAGCAGCAGATCAGCTGGATGTGGGTGCCTCTGGAGAGGGACCCTGAACAAAGAAATCCCCAGGCAATTACACAACTTACGCACCAGCCCCTCAGGCGCGTAGTCTGCGCCTCTTGGCCTCTTTGGTCTGGGGTCTTCCTCCTCTATGTCCATGTCCATGTAGGCAGGCTGTTCAGCCCCCGTGGAGCTGCAGCTTTTGCTGGTGGTTGTTGTCTCCTGATCTTCTGGTGTGAGCTTCTGGCGCTCACCAGCAGAGCACATATAACTAAAACAGCCCTTGACTCAAGGTAGTCAGCACTGAGCAACAACTAAAACATCGGTGTGTTATCAGTGTTCTAAATGCACCAAAGACAAAACACAGCTCTGTATCAGCTGGTAGGAGGATTACCAAGAAAAAGAACTCCATTCCAGAAAAATATCTCAAGGTGTTAAGTTCACAGCTTGCTGTGAACTCTGAGGTTGAAGGCTCCATCAAGTCCAGCTACTCAGGCCAAGCAAACAACAAACTAAATCATACAGTATTATATATTAACAGTTAGAATGTTCCTCATTCTAGTTACATCTTATTTAAGCTGAACAAGGAATATCTCTCAACAGCCTGAAATACTTAATAAACACCATGACACCTTAACCTCAGTTGTACATTGTCATTTCAGGTGCTATTTGAATGGATTACTGATAACGAATGCCCATTTTGTACAAAGCAAACCAGCTCTTTTTTTCAGAAGCTGTGGACAGGACAGATTCTTACTTCGCAGGTATTACATTTTTCACAGCAGCCTGCTGTTAAAATCACTTTAGTTTATTCCTAAAACATTTCCTCTTAATCAGAGTCCAACAAACCACTTCTTTTCCTGCTCATCACCTTCTTCTGCTGATTCTAGCAATTGCTTAAATGAAAAAAGTTATCTAGCAGAACATTGCCTTTTAGTGCCATTTTAGTTAGTGCTGAAAGAAAACAATTTGGACAACCCACCTCCTCTCACCACTTGCCATTTATTTGCAAGCTGCAATTTTTTTAAAAAATGAGAAACTGTACCTATATTATTGCAGCAAATAACATCATGTATGTTCTTTAGGCTTGTGTGACTACATAAATGAAAAGTTAAACTGTATTGCTGCATACAAGCTAATTGTTCAGAGTACATAGCTAACTGGAGATCCTTCCAGATCCTTCCTGCTCACAGTTCCAATGCCACAAAAGTCAGTTATTTTCATCTAAATCTGAATATATGTTTGATATTTATATGAAATTAAATACTACAATGGCTTGTTCTTACACAATTATTTCCATCACCAGTGGATTACATTATCTCACGCAGATGAGCACAGATGGAATAAATCAGAGGTGTGAAAGAGGTAATGACAAATGCATACAACACGGGCTAATAAAATTATGTTAAACAGCTGACTATTTTTAAAAATGTAAACACACAGGCAAGCTCGTCAAGAACTCTGAAGGTAATTTGACAGACTGTGTGTCTGGGGATGGTGGGTTAGGAAAGGACAGAAGCAGCACACAGCCAGGGCTGACTGTAAAGCACAGTTCACGTCAGCTTTGTAATACAGGAAAAGCTTTTGGCAAAAAACAAAGTTATTCTGTCTTCTGACAGAAGGACATGTAACCCAGAAGATGAGAAGTGATAATGAACCTGTCCACTTGCAAAGCTTCACCAAAAACCATATAGGTGTAGCTGTGTGGTCATGCTTTTTTGTCCCTCCTCGAATCGCCTTGTTTTCCATTAGCTGACACTGAATTAATCAGTGAACTTGCCAGCAACATTCTAGTACAAACAACACATACAGATATCAGAGAAGACAGGGTTTTGGTTGGAAGGGACCTTAGAGATCATCTTGTTCTACCCCCTGCCATGGGCAGGGACATCTCCCACTAGACCAGGTTGCTCCAAGCCCCGTCCGACCTGGCCTTGGACATTCCAGGGAACGGGGCAGCTACAGTTCCTCAGGGCAAATTGTGCCAGCACCTCACCACTATCACAGTCAAGGATTTCTTTCTAGTATCTCATCTAAACCTGCCCTCTGTCATCTTATAGCCATTACCCT